CACACACACGCTCACACACACACACACATACACACACACGCTCACACACACGCTCACACACACACACACACACGCTCACACACACACACTCACACACACACCTACCTGTACGTCTGGCTCCCTGAATCCTCTCACTGCCCACCTGCCTCACCTTCCATGAGCAGGTTTCCCTTCGGACCAAGTTGAGCATCACCAGTTGCCCAATGCCAAACAGATGGCAGGAAAGAGAGAGCTCCCTCAGAGAGGGGAGGGGCGCTGGGCAGCAAGTTCAATGCTGACAGGTGAGGGCTGGGTTGCAGGGCACGCCTGTCCTACACCCACATTCACCTTAGATGTGGTTCAGTGTGGAGCTGGGAAGCAGAAGCCGTAAGATTTACTCCCCACACACCCACCCTCATCATTTCCTCTCCTTCCTCTTGTTTTTCCTTTCTTAATTTTGAAGGTTCTTCACGTTTCCTTTTCTCCTCTACTCTGTCATCTTTCCTTTGCTGGTGGTGGGAGAGGGTGGGGGATGGGGGATGGTAAAGAAAAAAATGGCAACCCCTGTCATTCAGAAGCTGGCCTGATACTGCCAAGCCAGGTTATGAGCCTATTAGATATAAACAATTTCACAGAATACCAACCTCAGACAAGTTTACTCTGAGACCAAGATAAAATGAAAGGATGCAAGACCATTTAATGATTTTGTCTAAGCACAGACAAAAACAAGATCACTTGGCCACCCACCAAATACAAAACATGCTCTTCTTTTGGCCAAGATGAGTGACTGCTACCTCTATCAATTTCAACTTGGTCTTCATTCTAATCTCCCCTCTCTACTGCTGATATTTATTGAGATATCCAGTTAGAATTGTCCCACTGTCTGAAGCCATCCAATCTAGATTGACCCCCACTTCCTTCGACCCTCCCCCAAGCCACCCATCAAAGCCCATGAGCTATAAGGGGTTCTAATACCCTCTGGTGGGGAGAATGCACTTGTAATTCCCCCACAGGTACATGCTCCCTTTCTGCAATGAACAATAATCTCAACTCATTTAACTACAGATGTGTTCCTGGTGGTCTTTGGCTGAAGGGCATCAACAAAATTGGAGATTCCACCAAGATTCATCTGAGACCCTTATTGCCTTGGACCAGGACCCTCACTCAACTCAGTAATAGTGTACACACATCTTTTTTTTTTTTTGAGGGGGGCAGATCCTGTTTTTTCCCAAGCTCCCCAGGTAATTATAATGTGCAACCTGGGTTTTGAGGGACTGGGTGACAAGTCACTTCAGGAGGCCTTAGTGGGGTCAGAAGGGCAATGTCTGTACAGCGCTGAGCTCAGGCCTTGCACATGATCCTCAGGTACAATGAGCTATCACTTTTTATCGCTTTTTCTTTTATTTGCTCTGTGCCTTATTCATTGTGCTGTCCCTCTCAATAAATGTCTGTGGAATGAACATTGATGTTACTGATGGGAGGCTGTGAATCATGTCAAATGTCATACATCTCAAACCATGTCACCATTTTTCTCCCCAAACCATTTTCCCCTGTGACTCAGTGTTTCCCCAGTCCCCAAGGTTGCAGCCTGGAGTTGGAGGCTCTGACTCATCCCTGTGCCCTGTCTCCTACCCCATGCAGGATCTCTTGGTACCCCTTTCTTTCTGATCTCACTGACCCCCCAGTTCAGACCTCACAAACCCCATGTGGCTTGGAGCTCTCAGGTGTCCCTTTGGTCTGCTCCACACAGTTCATGACATCTAAGAAGCTCTTTCTAGAGCTTGGCCAAACTGTGACACACCCCCAGCTCAGACACCCTCCCTCCATGGCCCCTTCTAATCACCTTCTAATGACATTCAAACCTCTATCTTGACATTCAAGACCTTCCATAATCCAGCCCCACCTCACACATGTATCATACGAGTGTTCTGCTCTATAACCTCCCAGGCATTCTTCATGCCTTTGAGTTATTGTGCTTTGTTTATCTGATCTTGCTGTCTGGAATGCCCTTCCCACTATTATATCTAGATAAACCCTACTTATCATTCAAATTCCAGCTCAAATGCTACTTCTTCCGTTCCTGATCACCCCAACCAAAAGGGACCATGACCCCTTTATAATCTGTTAAAACTATCCTCTTGTTTTAACTCACTTATGACCCTTTGTCATATACTGATCTGAATTATTCACCCTCCATCTATGTGTGTGATTGGAGGCTTTCTGGACCAGGGACTAAAAATCCAGCTTTATAACCAGGAAACCCTGGAATTATCATTGTTTCCGCTTCCTACTAGTTTAATGACCTTGGGCAAGTTTCTTAACTTCACTGAGCCTCAATTTCTTCATGTACTTAATGGGGGGAACCTCACAGGGTTATGGTGAGGATTAAATGAGATAATCATACATGTAGAATGCCTCACATGGAACCTGGCAGGAACAGCAGTTACTATAATTATAATAACAACTGTTACTATTATTAGGTTGAAATCTCCTGGAGCAGGGTATCTCAACTTCAGTGTGCCCACAGATCACCTGGGATCTTGCTAAAATCCAACTGTGATTCAGAAGGTCTGGGGTGGGCCTGAGACTCTGCATTTCTAACAAGCTCCCAGGGCTGCTCATGCTGTTTGTCCAAGGATAGCACTTGGAATAGCAAAGACCTAGACGGTAGGGCTTGGGTCTCTCACAGAATCTAGCATGGTTTCCTGCACTGAGTAGGGGCATCATCGTTTTTTTAAATGAACACACTCTCATGGTGGTGGTAAGGGTGATATTACACATAGCCTCTCTTACTTAGATGACACACACGCACCCACCCCACACCAGCTAATCTACCCTTGCATAGGACTGAGATTTCCCAGGGGCCCAGCTGCTGTTTCAGAAATCAGTGCTCTGAGATAGAACCGGCTGTGCACTAACCTTACAGCCCTGATTAATTCCCTCCCTTTGTTTGCCTCATTATCATGATTAGGTTCTGCCCGTAGCATAGCAACAGCTAATTGTAGGCTGGTTGCAGAGTGCATAATTCCTGCTATTAAAATTTTATCGAGGCTTAATTGCGCTCCTTTCTGCAGCATCAAAGCTTCAAAGTTTCAGAAAAGAAGCAGTGTGGTTAGTGGAAGCTGGTGGTTTTTTAAATCTTAGCAAGCTCTGTAAAGCCCTGCTCTGCAATATCATTGACCTTGAGATGGTTTCCTGTGGCCAGAAAGAAGCCCATCATTTATTTATTAACCTTCGAGAAGGTCTGCAAATAATCCCCTGTGGCCAGGGAGAAAGCATATTATGGGTCAGATGATATTACAAGAAAGCCCCAAAGGGCAGGTGGACCAAATAGTTTGGCCATGTGGGCATGTGGGCGGGAGAGCTGCAGTTTGCATGCGGAAGTGGTGTGGTGTGCAGACAGGTGTGTCACTCCGCAGATGCCCGGGTGCCACTCAGTGGCCCTCCAAAACCAGTGGCAGAATCCACAGGCTTTGAAAGGAGTTTTCTAGAAACTCAAGTGTCAGATTGCCCCAACCTGTGCTTAGTGGGAGGTGAAAAGAGATGAACCCATTAGCAGGTACTTTCTACAAATGGTTACCAAACCTAAGTGATCTCTAGCATCACCTAGGAGCTGCACACTTTCAGGCTTCAGCCCAGACCTACTGATTCAGAATTGGGGTAACGGGGAATCTGGGCTGGAAACCTCTCCTCAGCTTGCGCTGATGCTGAGCCACTTCAGGAATCACTAACTTGCAGCCAGTAGGTCTTCAGAAAACATGAAAATGGCAGCAGAGAACCAGCTGCCCCCTGGGGAACTGTCCACTCACTCTGCTTAGCTCAAGTGGGAACCACAAGTCCTAATGGTGTGGATGGCTCTAGGTCAGTGGTTCTCAAACTGCAGCGTATTTCAGAATGACCTGGAAGGCTTGTTAAAACACAGATTGTTGGGCTCTGCTCCCCAGAGTATCTGATCCATTAGGTCAGGGGTGGGGCCCAAGACTTTGCATATTTAACAAGCTGGTAGATGCTGCTGCTCTAAGGACTACACTTTGAGAACCACTGCCCTCAGTGATTCTCCAAATTTGGACCAAATATGTCTCTTTTAAAAGGACTCAGTTGTGTTACTTGGTCCTCACATCACAGAGTAATGCTTTACATGAAGACTCTGTACTTGTGTCTTAGGCATCTTTCTATAATCTAGAAACAGTAGCGTTTGTAACCAAACTTTGACCTGAGACATTATGAAGGAGGAGTATAATCTGGGGTCCTGGATTTAAACACAGTTGAAAAATAAATAAATAAATAAATAAATAAATAAATAAATAAACACAGTTGAATCCAGATGAATCCACTACTGCTTTACCATTACTACATCAAACAGGTCTTTTAAAAGAAGATGAGTTTTTGGCACTGCTTAAGTGAAAGGCAAGTTATTTAATGAGCTAACCTCAAGCTGGAAAGGCTTTAGATAAGGTGCAATAATGGAATTATGGTGAGTGAATGGAAAATAACAATGAGCACATTTTATAGAGAGGAGATACATTGGGGAGAGAGAATGGTGAAAGAAAATTCAGAGTAAACTTAAAGCAGGGGTTGCAACTCAAAAACCTCAGAGGCCAGATAGATAATAGAAATGAGTAAGGTAGACAAGTCAATTAGAATCCGTGGTTCCAATTTGAACAAGACAATATGGAGTGGTGGGGACTATGATAAACTGGAGAGACCTGGCCCTTCCAAAATGGGAGTGAGCCTCAACTCAGCTCTTGCCTATTGTTGCCGTGGAAGAATGTGGGCTCAGGAATTGCTTGCTCTTTCAAATTTTCAAGAGAAGCTGGGAATCTGAATTCTAATATGAAATTTCCCTACTTTTAAAAACTGAGCCACAATCAAAATATGTCTGTAGGTGATCAGCTTGTAACACTAAAGAGTTCAGATCCTGTTTCCTAGGCCCTAATTCACTGGGATGCTTCTGTAGGAACTTGGCACAGTTTTTTGCCTTTGGAGGGTGAGGGTTAGTTATTAGGAAAGGAAAACAAAAAGAGTAATTAAGAAAGGGGAGATGGGTGAAATCATATAAAAACATTGTAAAATGAATCTATTATTTAGAAGGGATGTGGGGGCTTATAGAGACCTATCTTCTACATAAAGAATATATCATTTCTACAACATTCTGATGTGGTGGACTATTAATTTGGTGGTCCTTGTGGAGTCCCCTCCTACAGTGACTCTGGGCTTGGTTAATGGGTCTTTAGCAAGTGAGATGCAAGCAAAGACTTAATTAAATCTTTGCACATTGGAATGTACCCTCTTGGAATGCTTACTTTTGGGATACAACTGCCATGTAAAAAGTCTAGCCATGTGGAAAGACCATATGCCCTTTAGCTGTCCCTGCCAAAGTGACAGGCCTGTGAGAGAAGCCATCTTGGGTTGTCTGACTGCAACCACTTGAGACCCCAAGAGAGATGAGCAGAAGAATCAGCCAACTGAGCCTCAGTCAACCCATAGAACCATGAGAAATAATAAATCAGTGGTTGTTTTCAGCCACTAAGTTTTGGAGTACTTTGTTACACAGTAAAAATTAATGGAAATATCTAATAAGTAGTTGGCCTATGAATCAGATAGGATTCTGTGGTATAATGAAAAATAAAACCTTTGGTCTTTGTCCCTGGTTCCTGGCACAGAACTCCTAAAACCCATGGCATCTCCTGAATGATACTGTCTTTTGTATGCCAATGAGATGACTGGTGGCTGGGGAGCCCTAGATAGCTTCAGGATGGGGGTGGTCACCAGAAAGACCAAGACATAATTACAGGGTTAGAACTTTGAGTCCTACATCACCCCACCTCCAGGGAGGAGAGAGAGGCTGGAGACTGAGTTCCATCACCAGTGGCCAATAACTTAGTTAATCATGCCTATGTAATGAATTCTCCATACACATCTCTAAACAACAGGGTTTGAGTGCTTCTGGGTTGGTGATCACATGGAAGAGCTGGCAGGGTGGCTCCTGGAGAGGGAATAAAAGTTCTAAACACACACCTATACCTTGCCTTATGCATCTCTTCCATTTAGCTGTTCCAGAGTTATGTCTTTTATGATAAACCAGTAAACATAAGTAAAGTGTTTTCCTGAGTTCTGTGAGCCATTCTAGCAAATTATCAAACCTGAGGAGGGGGTCATGAGAATCCCTGATTTATAGCTGGTTGGTCAGAAGTACATGTAACTAGTGTCTGAAGTGCATACAGTTTTGTGAGACTGAGCCCTTAACTTGTAATGTCTAATGCTAACTTCAGGTAGATAGTATCAGAATTGAATTGAATTGTTGGACACCCAGTTAAGGATTTGAGAACTGTAGAGGGTAGATCCAAGATGGGGGAGTAGATAAACACTGTGCCTGCCTCCTTCCATGAACACATTAAAATTACAACTAAATTATAAAACAATTAACCTGGAGAACAGAAGTCTAGC